TAGGCCTGCGGAGCTGTCCAATCAGAAGAGCCGCCTCTTTGGCTGCTCTGCTTTGTGATAGGCTTACCGCGTGAGCCGTCCAGGCATTTGTTCGATGCAAACTAATTGGCAGACATTGTCGACAAAAAAGCGGGAGACTCAATTTGCCCCTTCTGGCTCATTTACCGTCACCTTGTATCACTCGGTCACAGAGTCTAACTTTTTAACACGGAAGTATGGGTTCCTGGCTTGTTGCTTGCTATTAATGAGTCCTATTCCATCTTGTAATCAAGATACACCAGTAACGGTTGTCTCATTTCGACCTTACCGGTAAGGTGGGTCTGCCTTGTACTTATAATGAAATAATGGAAGGGGGCCGACCGAAAATTGCACAGATGTTTAATCTATATAACCCGTCCTACTGAAGTGACACTAGTAGTATGTATTAATGCATTAATTCAGAGACATGATTAAGCTGTTGTAGGGAACCGAGCGGTTAACCGTCACTCGATGCTCTTCATCTACCACAAAAGCTTGAGATGGCTGTAATATGAGATGGCACAGACCAAGTTGACAGAATTATGCTGCTTCTCAATCATTAGTAACTAGTAACGGGGCTTAGGAAATTACGACTCCCACGACCAAGGTGGCTTTATCGCCAGGCAAAGCCGAGCAATCAACATTCGGATAGTTTCCTCAGCGCCTCACCACCGCTTTATCACAGTTCCGTGCCGGTTTTGCTAACTAAGCAGTATTTCTTGCTGGCCTGCGGTCTAAATGATTATTCTGTCGGAATTAGTGGACAAAACTAAACTGCAGAATGAGAGCTGTTATAATGCCCTTAGCTTGTGGACATAGTAATGTTTAAGATCCTTGTCAGGTCGGACTACAGAAAATGAAGAGCCCGCAATGTCAGAGGGTGTTTGGTAATGAGACTAATTACAGTATTATAGTTCAAAATACGCCAATGGTGCCCTACCTATCGAATTGTTACTGTCATATCTGCCAAGTATATTAAATAATCT